ATACACTTCCTGGCCTCACTGTCCTCATTAACTACAGAGGAAGATTCCACAACCCCTTCTCTCATGCATCCTTCACGACTCTAAAGCCATGACCATTGTGGGTGATGTTGCCAAGTTTGGCTGCCCAATAAGGGTGAAGCTCTGTCCTCTTGAATCACATTTGCAGAGGCTTTTTTCGTTTGTTTGAGCAGAAAATTCCTTTCTACAAGTTGGAAGCTTATCTGGGTGAGGTCTTTCCCTGAGAGAACTCCTCCCATTATTCCATTTTGGAACAGGCCTTTCTTTAATTTTCTCATCTCTTTCAGCATGAGCCTTTACCCCAACATTAAATTTGGGTGCTCTTTTTTTCTTTTAAATATATATTTTTTGATTTGGTTTTTGATCGATCACTAGTAACGATACAACAGAATCAACATTGGGCTTTTTAAAAAATATTCATTAGATAAACTATTCCATTGTTTTTTAATTTAGGCCAGTTCTTAGAACAAACGAAAAAAAACGAAAAAAAAAAAAAAAAAACCAGCCACATTCTTTGCTCACACCCAATGACACACCTCCTCCAACAAAGCCACACCTCCTAATCCTTTTAAAACAGTTCCACCAACCAGGGACCAAATATTTAAATATATTATATAAGTGTATGGAAAGCCTTTCTCACTCAAACGACCATATGACTAATTTTCCTAGTCACCACAAGTAGACACATACCCCATTGGAAGGTTGTGCACATGGGCGCTAGACCTCACAACTGAATAAGACACCTGAGATCAAGTTTCTGCTCCACCAGGAATAAGTTCTGTGACATTGAACAAGTGACTCCATCTGTAACTCTGCTTCCTTCTCTGTAAAAGTAGTTACAAAAAAAGTGTCTACCCCATAGCATTATTGTCAGGACTAAGTTAATCCATGTAAAGTACTCAAAGGAATATGGCATATGTCTGCAGGCATATGTAGTATTCAGTAAACAATAGCTCATATCATATATATTTTAGCTCTTTAATTGAATTTGTTGAACTTCTGTGTGTGTGTGCATGTACATGTGCATTGTGTGCGTGTGTGTGTGTGTGTGTGTGTGTGGTGTAATGACAGCCTAAGTTGTACCTTGCTTTGGCTAATGCTACAGTGAAGTTACTTTCCCTCAACATATATTAGGTGGTGAGTAAAGGTGTTTCCTGGGTATTGTATGACAGAGGTTGGAATGTTCTAAGATTAAATGCATCTACTGAAGGTAATCTACATGTAGGTGATTGGGGTGGCTATACACAGTCTATGACTTTTTTTTAAGTAAGTTTTTTTTGTTTTTTTGTTTGTTTGTTTTTGTTTTTTTTTGTTTTGACAGGGTTTCTCTGTGTAGTTTTGGTGCCTGTCCTGGATCTTGCTCTGTAGACCAGGCTGGCCTCAAACTCACAGAGATCTGCCTGCCTCTGCCTCCCGAGTGCTGGGATTAAAGGCATGCACCACCACTGCCCCCCCTTTTTTTTTAACTCAAATACATAATGGTGCTGAGAAAAAAAGTTACTAGAGATGGAGCAGAATGGCCTCGATTCCCTGTTCCAGGCTAGAGAAGCCTCTCTACAGATGCCCATCTCTCTCCAGTGTGGTGGCTGAAACAGTGTGTGGTAGTTTTAATGTAACTGGCCCCCATAAGCTCCTAAGGAGAGGCACTATTAGGAGGTATGGCTTTGTTGCAATAGGTACAGCCTTGTTGGAGAAAGTGTGTCACTGTGGGGGTGGGCTTTGAGGTTCCATAAATACTCAAGCCATGCCCAGTGCCCCAGTTCACTTCCTGTTGCCTTTGGTTCAAGACATAGAATTCTCAGCTCCAACTCCAGCACCATGTCTGCTGGCCCACCACCATGTTCCTGCCATGAGGGCAATGGACTAACCCTCTGAACTATAAGCCAGGCCCCATTAAATGTTTTCTTTATAAGAGTTGCCATGCTCATGGTGTCTTGTCACAGTGATGGAAACCCTAACTAAGACACGGTGCATGTTGGGTACTTCCAGAAAGTGGACCCTGTACATATACACCCAAGATAACAGCATCCACTTGGCACCAGACCGCACATGCCTCTCCCCACATCTACCAATGCTCTCTCTGAACACCATCAAGAGGAATAAAGCACTGTGGCTAAGTCAGCCATAGGTGGGGGCTGGGAAGAGGGAGCTTTCTCTGATCCACCTAATGAATCAATGAATTGAACAGAGGGGGAGTTCAGAAGCCAGGCTCCCCACTTCTGCTGAAGCAGAGCTGATTATGAACTAGCTTAACTGCTGGAAGAAAACACAGCTCCAGCTAGGAGAATTAGGGACATGTCTGTCCATTCATTTTCTCTAATCGAGTTCTTGGGAAATACACATGTAGATTAGCTCCTAACAATGACCCCCAGCTGATTGCTTGGAGTACCCTCCACTGTGCCCACAATGGTCCTGAATGGTTCTTTATATCCCACACAAAGGCAGGCCCCAGCCCGCAGGCCTCATCAGGACCTTTAAAATCCTTCCTGCCTTTCTCCAGAGACCCTAATAAACAGTAAATAAAAGCTCACCTCACCTGGAGCTGTGTGTAGAGCTGGGCAGTTCCAGCAGGAGTTAACTTTGGAAAGAGGGTAAAGAAGCCGCTGGGCAGCTTGGGGGCAGGTTAAGGAAAGCTGCAGCTTGGCTCTGCTGCTATTGCAGAGGTAGGTTTACTAGGGGGAAGTTTACAGAAACGTGCTCTGTCCAAGGGAAAGAACGTGTACCAATGAATTATTCGGGCAGCTGCCCTCTGCAATGTATACCAATGAATTATTCGGGCGGCTGCCCTCTGCCTCAGTACCTCAGTCACCTGCTCTACCTAACCAGCTAGGGAGACCCTCTGGGGTGCCACTGGGCCATTTCCAGGGTCAGTGCCTCAGCATCAGGAACCTCCCCAAGGCTCCAGTCTCACAGGACTGGCATCTCAAAGGCCATTCTCAAGGGATTGGGATCTCATTTCTTTCTGAATTAAATGGTTTCCCCCCTCAGCCTCAGAGATGTAAGATTCTTGGGGGGTGGAGGGGACTGGCAAGGGATGAAAGATGGGCTGCAAGCCAGGAGGCACTTTGATTCAATTAAAAACTTCACACTGCAATAATAACCACAAGCTAGACAGAGCCAGAAACTCCAGGATGAGGAATCAGCTGCTTGGGGCTCTAGCCCTGCCCCTCCTCCGTTGGATGGATGTCTCACCTAGAGCATCATTTCCTCTTCAGGAAGACCCGCCCTGTTCTCGCACAGGATGGCTAGGATCCTGTCACAGGAAAAATGTGCAGGGTTTGAAAGCTCTAAAGTGCTATTTATTTTCATTAATTTAGCTTATGTTTGTATTGTAATTTTTTAACAGGTGCCAGGGATTGAACAAGTGCTTTACCCTGAGTGACATCTTCAGTCCTAACAGGTTTTTCTTAAAATTTAAACTTTCTGAGCTGAGCCAGAACTTCAGTTTGAACCCACTGACGACGAATTTGCGTGCTATATTTCTTTATCTTTTTTAAACAACTTTACTAGAAAGAGAACCGTTAGGGAAATTAGCCACTTACATGCAAAGCCTCAGGGAGGTTGTGATTTCCCCTTGTTGGTTCCTTTGCCTTGCCTCACAGCCTGGAAATTAAACTCATCGAAGCTGGTCATGGGGGGCCATGGGGTTTTGTGTGAAGTGTGTGACCTCGCTCAGGATGATGTTGGCCCTGCTGAAGGATCTAGAAAGGTAGGGTAAAGAAATCTGTCTTGGTGGAGACCTGAGAGACTAGAAAGGTGGAATTGGGGGGTGGAGGTCCCCAGTTCCTGAGGGAGGGGAGTTTTTGGGTCTTCTGCAGAAGCTTTGAGGGATGCAAAGTTTACAGTTGCCCATCGGCGATGAGGCCCCTAGGAATCATCTTTCTGCTGAGGCTTTGAGTCACTCTAGGTCAGGCAAGCCTCAAGGGGCCCCCAAGGGGGAAGGAACTCAAGCGGATTAGGGCCCTAACCCTCAGGGAAGCGCTAGGACCTTCTCCTCCCCAGCGAATGTCCCAACCCACGAGCTTTGCGCCATCTGCTTGACCTGTGGAAGTGGGAGAAGACCGGGGTGGCTCATCACTGTAACTCAGTTAAGGACCCTGCCCTTTCAAGAGCGCTCATGAGAGGAACGTTTGTGTGTCTTCTGCGGGTCCTGGGATCTCCCAGATTTGAGGTCATTGGTCCTGTGGGCACAGAGTGTCCCACCACCATTTGTGGTTCGCGCTAGGATGAAGGAGCTGATCCGAGGGTACAGAAAGAAGTCAAAACAGACCAAAGATGCCTGTAGTCTGGGGCGTCAAAGCACTGGAGCATAGATGTAGAAATGAGGGGAAGATTCAGACCGGGAGGCCTGTGAACTAAATTCCAACGCCCAGGTATAGCTGGAAAGCCTTCGGCTGCTCTAGGAGCTTCCAAGTGCCACACCGAGGCAGTCCAGGGTGTAAAGCTCTGAGAGGATGTAGGCTAGAGGGAGAGGGGAGAGGTGAATCCGGGAAAACTGCCCCTCTGAGACAGGGGTGGAGAGATGTCCCTCCTGTCACACTTCCTAGTCCTGGTACCTGGAAAATGTTTGTGGAGTTGAAATAGATCAAGATATCAGATGGAGGGACTTTCCGGGTGCAGGCCTGGGTGGCATGCCTAGGACCCCAAGCTGATCAGGGGGAAGACCGGCCCTCTGTAGGGGAGGGGCGGGGAGAAAGGGCTGGGTCTGGAGAGGAGGAGGAGGAGGAGTCCCAGACCAGCGCGCTGCTGGTCTTGTGCACCAGAGCTCCACTTTACCCCGAGGCCAAACTTCCAGCTGCTGCAGCGGTCCGATTGACTTCTGGCCCAGCGCTTGCCCATCTCCAGAGCGGTTGCCCAAGCCGGGTGCCCGCCGAGCTTGGCTTTGGTCGGACCCGTCCAGTTGCGCACGTTCTGGAAGTGCACCCTTGGAAAACACAGGCATCGAGCGAGCTTCAGTCTGCAAAGTGCACACCCGCCTCCCCATGCACCTGCCCGGCTGCGCGCCAGCCATGGCCGACGGGAGCTTCTCTCTCGCTGGCCACCTGCTCCGCAGCCCGGGCGGGAGTACCTCGCGCTTGCACAGCATCGAGGCCATCCTGGGCTTTACCAAGGACGACGGGATCCTAGACCCATTTCCTGCAGAGAGGGGTTCCAGGGGCGCGAAGGAGCGGGATCCCAGGCTGAGCGCGCGGCCCGCCTGCCCCAAGGCGCCAGCCGGAGGCTCTGAGTCTTCCCCGCCGCCAGCCCCCGGGCTGGTCCCCGAGTACGAAGGTGAGTGCACAACACCGCCGTGAAGCCCTTGGAGTGCTCTGCAAGACAAGAGCTCCTCTTCCTTGACCTTTATGTAGGTCAGCGGGTTTGGGGGTCTGCCCGACTTGAGATGAGAGAAATTTTAGGGACCCCACATAGCTTCCATCAAGGACCTCCTCAGACTAGTTCAGGCGCCACTGGGAAGCCTAGGGCCGCAGGGAGGCGACTGCGCCTCCTGGACCAGTGTCACTGACCCCCTGGGGCCTTGTTGTCCCAGCTTCTCGCCCCTGCTACCCCAAGGAGCAGGGAGAGGCACGGCCGAGCCCAGGACTGCCGGTTGGGCCAGCAGCAGGCGACTCGAAGCTTCCAGAGGAGGAACCTCCCAAGAAGAAGCACCGCCGCAACCGCACAACGTTCACCACGTACCAACTGCACGAGCTGGAGCGCGCCTTCGAGAAATCTCACTACCCCGACGTGTACAGCCGCGAGGAACTGGCCGGCAAGGTTAACCTACCCGAGGTTCGGGTCCAGGTAAGCGCCAGGATTGACGGACAGGAATCTGGGAGGGCCAAGGCTAAACGGCAATTACTTAGTGTGTTCCTTCCATGGTTAGGCAGCCCCGAGCCCAGGAGTGTCTAAGATCTTCGACCTTTCCCCCAAGTGCCACCCTTTGAGCAATCTGGTTCAGTAAGATGTCCCCTTTAGGGGAGAAGGCTCCCGACTTTAAACTAAAAGGACTTGGCAATGGCTTGGGAGATGAAGAGCTTGACAGCGCATTAGATGCAGTCGAAAAAGAGTTGTGGGTGTGCTGACCGCAAAGGGAATGGAGCCTGAAAGCAACAGCCAGGGGGTCACTGGATTGAGACCCCCCCCCCCAACCTCCACCCTTCTCACCAACTGAGCGCGGTTGTTCCACACGAAACACTCCCTTTCTTTGTAAGCCGCCAGTTAAAACTTCTCACGGATTTAAGAAACTGACTTTTCCTTCGTTTTACACCGACTTTTCCTTTTTATCGTGAGGGAGTTTTCGCTTTCATTAAAGCTGAATTTCTCTAATCCCCAATCATTAAAATATTTGGAAGCCTTAAATATTTACTAGTCATCTGTGAAAAATCTGGGAGGGCTTCCAAATTGAGAGAGTTTACAGGGGGCCTGAGAAGGAGACAGTGAGAACAGACTCGATGCGTCTGAGACTGGAACCATGATGGGCTTTTTGTCTGGTAGGATTTCCGGGCAATAGGGATTCTCTGGACTTTGGACACTTTTAGCTCTGTCTTTAAAGTAAAGGGGGACAAGGCTCCCTGCCTTTTGTCTTTCTGCTTAGGTTCAATTGAAAATAAGGAAGGAGTAAAGTCATAGAAGTTACTTCCATGGTTAGGCAGCCCGAGCCAGGGGTGTCTAAGGCAGTGAGTTCCCTAACGTGATTTGGGATTAACTACCAAAGACATTTAGTTCAGTCTCTCCTAGTTCTGCACTGTATTTCTATAGTTTTCATTGAAAGTTGGAAATTTCAGCACTTGATGTCCAGGGAAGGGGAATAGGTACACAGAGAGAAGAAACAGAAGACAAAGACAGAGGAAAAAGTGGTCCATCCCAGTGTCCTATGGACAGTTGCCTGGGCTCCCTTCACTCCAAGCTTGCCTAGATCCCTCTTGTTCAATGGTTTTACCATCCCCACTCACTTACGGGATTCTTGAGAGCAGGGTCTGTAGCTTTCCTGGGACTAGCATATAACTTCTCTCCCCATGTACATAGATCATCAGATAGTGTGATAGGGACTAGGAGCGTCTCCACCACACAACCTTAGAAACTAGATCCAGGGCTATAACTAATTTTGTAGGGATGGAGCAGGGAAGTTCAAGAGGTGCAGGGCCACCTTCCCCCCAGGAGAATCTTTCTCTTTTTCCTACTCTCCGCAAACTGCTAATGTTTCCTGGTGGCTGGTGCCTGGGGTGGAGATACTTACATTTTGTTCTCTTTTTTCTTCCCAACTCAAGGGTCACACGCACTTGGCCCTCTTCCACTCAGGGGCTGGGTTTCACCTTCTCTGCTCTCCTGTTTATATCACTTTTCCCATTGGTCCAGGCCGCTACATTCTTTTCACAAACCCCATCCTGAGTGCACCAGTTTGTCCAAAGTTCTCTCACAGTCTTCACTTAAAAAAAACAAAAAAAAACAAAAACCAATTCTGTTTTGTAGAAGAGTGGAATTTGGTGGTAAAACATTACTATGGCATCCTTCATGCTCGTATCAACCCAGTAGTGGAGGAGCCAGTGCGAGGAACCATAATGTGACTTTTCCCTAAGTGAAATAAGAAAGCAAAGTCTCTTTGTACACAGTATGAGGGGAAATGGCAAAACTCCGTAACATGAGCATAGATATAATACACGTGAACAATTGTAATCTTGGAAAGTAATCCATAGGAACCTCAGACATACTAAACAGGCACCAATTCAATAAAGCCGAGAAGTTATCAGAGCAGCGACGGAAATACACAGAAGGTCAAAAGAAACCTGCTAGAAACGGTTGCATTTTAACACGGGAACTGCGGGTGTGTGGTATGCCTGTGTTTGCAGCAGAGAAAGGGGGTAGGTAAAAACAGACAGGCTGAAGCAGCCATTGAGAGCTACACAATACAGAGCAGAAGCGAGATCCCAAATTGAGCGTCAGAAGGGGCTGCCAACCGAAGGGGCCCCGGAAACCTGGTTTCAAAGTCCTACGGTCTAACTTCGGAGTTAAATTTACGGTCCTCTAAAAGAAACCACCACAACCAAAAGTGAGAGATCCAGGAGATGGGGGGGGATGCTTTGGGGGAATGGGGTGCGACAAAGAGAGAGCTGGGGGCCAGAGAGAATAGCCACAAAAAAGGGAAGCATATGTAAAAGAGAGGCTTGGAGTACAAGGCGAGAGTGAGGAGAGACCAAGGAGGTAAAGGAACTTCTGAGCCCTTCTAGCAGAAGACTATTCCAGTCCCAGGATTATTTGGGGGGTACTGGTGGGATCAGGCTGGCAGGCTTGCCCAGGGTGGGGACTTCACTCCGCTGCGCTTCGCCCTAGCCTGAAGGGCTCTGCGCTGCTTCTGGCAGGTGTGGTTCCAGAACCGACGGGCTAAGTGGAGGCGGCAGGAGAAACTGGAAGTGTCGTCCATGAAGCTGCAGGACTCGCCCCTCCTCTCCTTCAGCCGCTCCCCGCCTTCCTCTGCTCTGGCCCCGCTGGGGACCGGCCCGGGCAGCGGTAGCGGACCACCGGGGAGCGCCCTGCCGCTGGAGCCGTGGCTCGGGCCGCCGCTGCCCGGTGGAGGTGCCACAGCGCTGCAGAGCCTGCCGGGCTTCGGGCCCCCGGCGCAGGGCCTCCCGGCCAGCTACACGCCACCACCGCCCTTCCTGAACTCGGCGCCCCTGGGCCCGGGCCTGCAGCAGCTCGGGCCGCCGCCCGCGTACCCGTGCGCGCCTGGATTCGGGGACAAGTTCTCGCTGGAAGAGGCGTACCCTCGCAACAGTAGCATCGCCGCGCTGCGCCTGAAGGCCAAGGAGCACATCCAGGCCATCGGGAAGCCCTGGCAAGCCCTCTAGAGGCGCTGCGGAGCGTGCTGCGAGCCCGGCGCACCCAGCCCGGTGGCCACTCTGTCTTTGCTAGTCCTCCTGCCGCAAGCCGAGGGCCAGCCTTGGGCGGGGACGCTCGCGCCTTCTCCAGACGCTCCAAGAAAGGCCAACGGAACCCCCAACCGGGCTACCAGAGGGACGAGTTGCGGGTCCCGCTGACCACACTGCTCCTAGCTGCTCCCATGAGCATCAGCGCCTACCCCCGGGAGGGACCAAGGATCTTGACCTGGGGATGTTCCCGATGGAAAAGAAAGGGGAGCCAGAAAAATAGAGTGGAAGAAACTGTTTGTAAACTTAGTTTAAAGTATTTTGGAGGAAAATTAAAGATTGGTTTGTTGCTCGGCTAAGCGTGTTCACCGACTACAGCGTGAGGGGGTAAGGTAGGGATCTGGGGGACGATACTGTCTTGGACCTGGCGGACCCGAGAGTCGGGGGTGGAGCACCGGGGAACAAGTGCAAATTCTGAGAACACCATTGCAAGGGAGAATCGCCCTTCCAGGCTGTGTGAGGTCAGCGGCCTACAGTTCAGTTGCCTGTGTCCCCACTTATTTGTTAATAGCCAGCGGCCCTTGCTACTTTGACCCAATAGGAAGCAGGTACACCACCTTCTAAGGTGGGACCAGATCACCCCCAAACTCCTCCCCTTTTAGGTGGCCTTAGCCTCAGACTCTCTCAGATCACCGGCCTGGAGCTAGCCCTCACCCAAAGTGGTAATATTAGTTTGAAGATTTGCGCAAAGACTTTTTCCTCCTGACTGTGGGCCCTCTCTCCTCCCTAATTAGCACTGCGTCCCCCAAACCAGAGTTTTGCTAAGAGCGCAGGGTACAGGGTAGTAGAAGGAGTCTGGGAGCTCCCTGCGGCGCTGGAAAGGTGTACTCTTTACTGGAATGTTTTAAACATTAGGATTGATGGAGCTGGCTGTGGAGCAGGGAAGGAATGCCCCTGTCTCAACCAACTGCAGCTGCTCCTGAGATCTAAGTCCAGGGATAAGGGGAGTTCCAGGAGTCCCTCCTGGGCAGCCACTACATAGCCCCGCCCCATGACTGCGTCTTCCTTTTCAGTCCTGGCCCAGTTTGCAAAGGGACCTTGCAGCTTGGAGGCTTAGCACCCACCAGCTGCTGTCCCTGGCTCCTTAGCATATTGTGGGGCTCTCCAGTATCTTTTCCTGGACCTTACCTCACCGGGAGACTTGGAAGGCAAACGGGATCTCCTGTGATTAAGATTTGGCTTTACCAAGAGCAAGGCAGAAAGCCACATCTGTGGCAATGGCCTCTCCTCTGTCTCAGCTCTATTTCTTGAATGCTCTTGAGTGCAGAAACTACTCCAAGCTGTGGAGACTGACACAGGAGTGTGATCCAGAATCCAGTCCTTGCCTTGTAAGATCTGAGGCCTCTGACACACATAACCAGTACCCCAAGCCTCCACAGAGTATGCTGGCAAGAAATTAAGTTGCCTTCTCAGAGTGTAAGAAATAACCCCTGCATTTTTTCCTTACTAGGATGTCTCCGGGGAAATGAAGTATAACAAGTGATTGTCTCTAAGTGAGAAAAAAAATAAATAAATAAACTTATAGAATGGATTGGGTGTCAGGTTCTGTCAGCTTAACCCATCTCCTATTCTATCCTTTAAGGACCAAGTTTTAAATTTTATTTACTGTTTTGTGTGAGTGTATGTGTGTGTGAGCTCGGCTACACTCACGCCACCATGTCTGTGTGGAGGCCAAAGAACACCCTTGTGAGATCCAGGCACAGAACTCAGATCATTAGACCTTCCTGCCAGCACCTCGACCCACCGACACATCTCCCAGGGCTAGGGCATAGTTTTAATAGGAACAACTTATTCCTGGAATATTTAGCTTCACCAGTCCAGGCTGAGTACACTTGTTTAGCCCTTTCTGCTTACCCCACTCCTGGAACCTGGGACTGTGCCCACCAGCCTCCTCACTTTCCTTAGATGTCTCCATGAGCACCTGCCTTCTCCTGTCTGTCATTTCCACACCCTGCCAGCCCAGACTCAGTGGAACGAGGAGGGTTTACTCTGTAAGGTTTCTTGACAGTGCACTGTGATCATGAAGTTTCTGGCCCATCTGCTTATTCCAGCTCCAACACGTACAGACTATTGTGTGGCTTGCTAAACAAAGAGTTTAACTGGGGTTACTTTCGGGGTGGACCAACGTAGACAAAGCTGAGCCCTTAAAAAAAAATCTCAGGGGGTGGAGAGATGGCTTAGAGGTTAGGAGAACTGGCTGCTCTTCCAGAGGACCTGGGTCCAACTCCCAGCACCCACACAGCAGCTCATGACCATCTGTAACTCCAGTTCCAGGGGATCCCATGCTCTCTCCTGGCACCAGGTATGCATGGTGCATAGACATGCACAAAGGCAAAGATACTCATTCACATAAAATAAATAATTAAGAATTTTTCTCTCCACAACTGTAACTGCCTAAGAAGGCACCTCTCATGTGGCTTCTCCCACTTAGCAGCTATTAGTTGTGTAAATCCTTGGAAAGGGACCAGCCTGGTGAGCCCCTGTCCCTCCAGGGCAGACAGCCACTTTATGCAGGTGTCCTGCAGGTAGTCACAGCTGCTTCAAGAGGGCATCTGCCATCCACGCCATACCCAGGGGACAGCTCCCACACAACACAGTGTAAACGGGGGCAGTGTCTTTGTGTCTTCCCATTTATGATGTGGGGTCAACTGTGTCTTCCTGACAGGCTTATTGTGATGTTTGAGGAGAGACAAACCTCTTAGAAGAATGCGTGTGCATAAGAGGTCATCAGTGTGTGTGTGTGTGTGTGTGTGTGTGTGTGTGTGTGTGTGTGTGTGTGTGTGTTATGGGGATTAAAATGGCAAACAAGTACTCTACTATTGAGCAATATCTGAAGCCCAGCTAATGGTATGGTTATTTCCAAAGACTTTTCTCAAAAATGTGAGTGTGGTTAACTGTTAGTCCCAGAGAGATAACGAAAGACAGCATCCATTCTCCTGTGAAACTAGTCAGCTAAGAAGGGTTGATCATACAAAGACGTATACAGGAAGAAGAATGGAAAAAAGCAGCTGGAGGCCCTGGGTTCTCTTTGTTTCAGTTCCTAAGGAGAGGTCTTTGGCCATGTTAGAAACTGAGATCCTGAAGGGTGGATGCTAGCTGAGTGAGTGCTTTACGGCTCCCCCTAGGAAATCGAGAGGTACCCCATCTCTTGTTGGTCCTTGGCTCTAAAAGTGGAAGACTCGCTGGCCACCATCCATGCAGGTGTGTAGGAGGGAGGAAACTAGTACTCAACAGAGACCTGAGATAGCAGCAGCTTGCTAAACTATTACTAAAATCCCAGTGACCTTGAACAGTTGGACCAGCACTCAAGTTCAAGATTTACAGAACTCTGTAGGTCAAAGAGGCTCTGGCTAGGGTGGAGTGTAGGCTTCCTAAATTAGACTGATGGCTCTGGTTTGGGATGGAGGAAGGTTTTTGATGACCCTGAATGAAAGTTTTCCCCAGTCATCCTCCATCACTGTCTCAAGAAATGACGTCACCTAGTGCAGGTTTGGCTCAAGCAAAGCAGTTAGTGTAAAAATGAAAGCAGGAACCAGTTGGGAATAGTTTTACAGAGTTCAGTGGGGGAAAGCCATTCTGAGGACTGAGATGAAACCCAGATGGAGGCAGGCTTTAACTGGGGCCAGGGCTGGTCATAACAAGAGGAAGACCTTGGGGAGTCCCTCCCCTACCGTGAAGATGAACACCAGGTCTGCCCTGGCCAGAAGTTGCAGGGAAGCAGGTCTGCAGTTTCTTTTCTGCTTTTGAGAATATGTTTGGCTGCTGTGCAGACCCCAGGAGAGTAGAGAAGGGAACATCAGAATGGACAGCAAAGAAGAGGGCGGAGTCAAGATGGCCACTCCCCTTTTCATCCCCCCCTCCCCCCAGCACCCATGCCGCAGTCTTGGAGGTCCAGTTTCTGCAAGCAGAGATTTGACTTCTCACCATGCCAAGGCTCTAGGCTTATGATGGTGGTGCCCTCCACCCAATTTGTGTCCTAGGAGACGTCTTTTCCAGTCAAAAGTCTTCAGATCCTGGGTCCCCAAGAGCAGTGGCAGAGCAGAGTCCCCATTGCTTAGTGTCCTGTGATTCTGAGCTGTGTTCCCAGACAGTACCCTCCTCAGTTTCTGACCCTTGGTATTGAGTCTTATTCAGATAGATCTGAACCTGGGACAGTGAGTGTCTACATCTGGGGTAAGTGGGATGGATTAAAGGGGCTTCAGCCAGAGGTTGGCAAGCAAAGCGAGAGCATCCTCTATTTATTTAAAGCATATATTTAATAGGTGCAGAAATGGGAAACATCAAGCTGGAAGTCCCGCCCTCCATCCATCCCAGTTCATCTAGGCTCTGGCTAGGGATGGAGGCAATGCCAATGTCCCTTCCCGGATCTGACATTGAAAGTGTAGAAACTGCCAGAGCCCAGCTGCCAGGGAGCACACCCCTCCTGTGAGCTGGGTACAGCCACTCCCTCTGGGCTTCAGACCCCAGAGCTCTGGGGCTCCTCCTTTGGTGGTGTTGTCCCCATCCTCCCCACCTCAGAGCCTGGCCTCACTTCTAGCCCCACCCCAGCCCACTTCTCTGGCTCGTTTCTGAGAGCTCCCCACCCACAGCAGATTCTTAGGCTATGCGTGGAACCCCCACCTCCAGGGATGTGCAGAGAGAGAGAGTTCCCTGGAGATGCTATTCATTCACAGCTCACAGTGACTGTGTGCTAACTAACTGGCCTGGGAAAGGCAAAGCCATGGCGTGCTTTGTAGCTACTGTCGACCCTCACTGGGGACTGCTTCCTAAAAATTTGGGCTCAGCTTATCAACTGTACAATAGTGGGTAGAATTCGTGGCCCATTAGCGGTTAATTCCTTAACCAAGCCTCAACTGCTCACTGTAAAGTCCCTTTCCTAAAACTGGATTAAATCATGTAGATACTTGGCTATAGAAGCAGCT